CCCAACTTCACTCATTCATTCCTCAGCCAGTCCTTTCATTCCTACAAGTATTTCTGAGCACCCTTCCTTGCCTGACCCTGACTGGGACAGCCCTGTCACCGCCTCACCATAGGAAGGGATGTGGTGTGGTGACCGAGGAGAGAATGGAGCCAAGTAGAACTCACCATACTTATTTGTGGTTTTTGTTTTGTTTTGTTTTGTTTCTTGTTTTTTGAGACCCAACTTTTTATAACATTTATTTGTTTGTTTGTTTGGTGTGTGGTTTGAAGCATGCCATGATGTATGTGTAGAGCTCAAATGACAACTTGGGGAGTTGGTTCTCTCCACACTGTTAGTTCCAGGAGTCACACTCGGGTTGCCAGCCTTGGCAGCAAGCTCCTTTCCCCACTGAGCCATCTTACCTACCATCTTCTTCATTTTTAAGACAGGATCACCTGTACTTCAGGCAGGCCTTGAACTTCTGATCCTCCTGAATTACAGACAAGGGTGTGCTGGGGATTGAACCCATGACTTCCTTTATGCATTGTACAACTGACTCATATCCTCAGTCCCTCAAGAATTCTTTTCATTAAATGAATAGCTGTAACTCCACCCATTGTCTTTGAAGGGTCACAGGCTGCAAACCAGTATCTCAAAGAGTCAAACAGCTCAGATTCAACTTCACACAAAGCCAGGATGCAAGCAGGCCTTCTCAGAGGAGGTGACTTGGGGAGCAAAGTTTGGAAGCATGAGTAGGAGTTTGCCAGAGAACCAAAGCAAAGAAGCCATTCTGATTGACTGGGATTATTTTCACCAACATACACACAAGCTGGGAAACCACACAGGTCAAGAGACATTCCCGTCCCAGATAAGGGGTTCTGCTGCCCTTTAAGAGGTACCCTGGGAAGGGACAGCATTCTGACTCCCAGGGGCTCCATAGCACTGAATCCCATGCGATCTGCGTTCTCATTCAGCAGAGTGCTTACCGATTGCCTTGTCTCAGGGTGCTGATTCTCTCGGGGTGGGAGATTTATTCAGTCCTAGTCTTCGAAGACTCTGCTCTTATTTGCCTGAGGAAATATATTTCTTAGGTTGCTCCCAGAGGAGCAATGCTAGGTCATTACATTGTGAATTGTTAGGCTATAAAGGAACCGTCCCTCACTCACCCTGACTCTGAGATTGGCTCGTTTGGAGTACCCGTTACCTCAATCCCTCGTGGTGTCAGGGTGATAGCTCTGCATGGGCAGAAAGTGAGAGCCAGTGGTTATTTGTGGGTGTGTGCTAAGAGAGGCTCCCCACGGGGCTTCTGTTTTCAGGAAGCTTGAGACAGGCGAAGAAACGGGCGAAGTAGAAAACTTATAGTGTCTTGTTTGGCAGCAGTTGAGAGTGAGATAAACCTCAGCTCATGCCTTGGTGTCAGTTCCAAGTACACACCAGACCCAATGGAAGGCTGAGGGTGTCACACAGTAGGCAGACATGCAGGAACCTGATTCTGTCCCCAGAACTGTATATACCAGGCATAGTACACATGCCTGTAAGCGCAGCACTTAGGAAAATTAGGGGGCTCAAGGTCATCTTTGGCTACATATTGAGTTTGAGGCTAGCCTGAGCTACATGAAACTGTCTCAAAAAGACCAAAAAGAAAAAGAAAGAAAAAGCTACCTGGTTCATTGGTGTAGTTTGCCTTGCCCCACTAGTACCAGAGCTTTAACAGGTCAAGGTTTGGGCCTGCTGTCTTCTTCTGTAGCCCAGCATTGGTAGCTGTTTGCCAAGTGGATGATGGTCACACAAAGGATGGGCCCCCATGGTCTTCTTTACATCAGGAGAAGCTGCCGTGGCAGCCTGCCTGGGATGCATCCTCTAGGGTACAGTATGCAATAGGGCATCGAGCTTAAGCCTTAGCACTCACCTCCACTGTGATCCCTTCCTCCTGCTGTCTTCGGGGACAGAGCACTGTGGCCCTGGAACTCTGTGGACCAGGACAGGCAGCAGAGGCATCCTTAAGTCCAGTTCCCTCCTTCTCTCAACAGAGAGCCAGGCAGCCCTGGCCCAGGAGGCCACACCTGCACCAGGCAAGCAGACAGAGCTGAAGTCAGTGCAAGGACTGGAATTTCAGACTCTGGCCATCTTCCTAAAAAAAGCCCAGCTTTACTGCTAACTACTAACTCAGACATTTCCAAAGCACAGAATGTTCTAGAATGCTCTGCTTCCTGTGTGTGTGTGCCTGTGTGTCTTGTGTGTCTCTCTCTGCATGTGTGCCTGTGTGTCTGTGTGCCTGTGTCTCTCTCTGTGTAGGTGTGTGTACATGCGAGTGGAGGTGCCTGTGAAGGCCAGGGCCTTCAGATCATCTGGAGTTAGAATAAAGACTGTTGTAAGTTGACCAGACTTGGGTTCTCTTTGAGAGCACCTCATTCTCTTCAGCTCTGATCCAGCTCTCCTACTTGTTTTCAGACAGACTCTGACTTTGATCTGAAACTCTCTGACTGGGCTAGGCTGACTGTTCTGGGAGCCCCTGGATCTGCCCATCTCTGCCTCCTCCGTGCTGGGATTACAAAACTTTTTACACATGAGTAACTCCTGGGGATCTGAATTCAGGTTTTCAAGCATCTCACCAGCTGAGCCCCCTCCCCGCCTGTCTTCTTCACTTGTCAGTGTGCAGATCTTCGGTGGCACACAGTCGTGTTGTTAAACAGCTGGAGTTTCTGTTCACCCATGAAAATCTTCATCTCATCCGAATGAACCTCCAGGGCTGGCAAGGGGGCTCAGCTGGGAAAGACACCCACTGCCAGGCCTGACAGCCCGAGTTCTATCCTTAGGACCCACATGATGTAAGAAAGGACTGGCTCTGTCTCTTGAAAGTTGTCCTCTAGCTTCCGTATGTCAACATGTGTGCACTCATGCACACACACATGCGTATACAAACACACACACATGCACACTAAGTAAATACACGTAAGAAAGTTTTAAGTGGCTGGAGAGATAGCTCAGTGGTTAGGAATGCTTGCTGATCTTGTTGAGGACACAAGTGAGTTCAGTAGTACCCATCACCCACTTCAGCCACACACCTGTGACACCATCTCCAGGAGATCTGGTGCCTTCTCCTGACTTCACACACATGCACGAACACACACACACACACACCACACACACACACACACACACACACACACACACACACACACTTTAAAAAACAAATTAAAAGAGATAGAAAATGTACTCCTTAAGAATAAGACTCTTGGAGCCGGACATTGGTGGCATACGCCTTTTAATCCCAGCACTCAGGAGGCAGAGGCAGGTAGATCTCTGTGAGTTCAAGGCCAGCCTGGTTTACAGAGCAAGTTCCAGGACAACCTCCAAAGCCACAGAGAAACCCTGTCTGGAAGAACAAAACAAAAAACAAAGAAACAAAAAGACTCTTGGGCTGGGCAGTGGTGGCAGGAGCCTTTCATCCCAGTACTAGGCAGGCAGAGGCAAGGGGATCTCTGTGAGTTTAAGGCCAACCTGGTCTACATGGTGAGTTCCAGAACATACAAGGTTACACAGAGAAATCTTGTCCTGAAAAAAACCTTAAGAGAGAGGGCGGGAACTCAGAGCTTAAAGTATGTAACACTCTTGCAGAAGACCCAAGTTTAGTTCCCAACACCCACATTGTAAAGTTCACAAATGCCTGTAACTACAGCTCCAGGGGATCTGACATCCTCTGTGGGTACCTGCACCTACAAGTACACACACACACACACACACACACACACACACACACACTAGACAAAGAAAGAGAGAAGCTGGAGACATGACTTAGCAAATGAAGGAACTTTCAGCCCAGGTTTTGTGACCTGAGTTCCATGTCCAGAACTATAGGTGGAAGAAAACCAACTCACACAAATTTGTCCTCTGACCTCCACAGGTGCACCATGGCACACTCTCTCACACACTCATTACACACACACACACACACACACACACACACACACACACACACACAATTAATAATAATAACAATAATAATAATAATAATACTATAATAATAATAATAATAATAATAATAATAATAATAATAGGATCATGTTTTTAAGAGTAGATACTGTGCTGGGCCCAGACAAATTTGTCCCATTTGTAAGCATCCAGTATATCTATTTCCAATCCATTTGTTTACTTTGAGATATGGTCTCACTGTGTAGCCCAGGCTGAACTGGAACTCACTAAGTAGAGCAAACTAACCTTGAACCCATAGAGATCTGCCTGCTTCTGCCTCCAGAGTGCTGGGATTAAAGGTGTGCACCATCACAAAGGGCACAAAGCCTGTTCTGTGATTCTCAGGTTCCACAGAGGCTAAGTGGTGCCCCTCCACTAGATGACAGCACTGAGCATACCAGCCTTCCTGCTCTATCTTCCCAAGGCATGATGCATTCCTGACAGGTTTTGGGACTCCTCCTTCTTTGGTGATGTAATGGAGAGAGCAAGAGGCTGTTGGGTCTCAAACCTGGGGATAACGGCTGAGGTGTCTATCTAACATATCAAACTGGACCAGGCCACCAGGTTCTCCCAGCATCTCTCAGTCCCTACCTGTTCCAGGGTATGGCTGGCATACTCTGCCCTCTACCCCGACTCTCCAACCCAGGGGCTGGGCTGCCCTTCCCCTGGAAAATCTTCTCTTTATAATCCAGACATTTTGGTTACTCGCCTTTCTTATATCTTGCCCTCTTGGCTGCTGTGGTTCTCCCCTTCCTCCCCCTCCCCCTCTCCTCACGTGACTCAGGGTCATGGCCACTCTGGACTCCCCAGATATATCTGCTTCTGGCTATGATCTCCCTTTTATCTACAACTTTCCCTTCTGCCATACCTAGGAGTGGTCATGTCTTTCCTTTTATTTCTTTTTATTTATTTTTTTCCATTCAGGTCACAGGCAGCCAACAGCCAGGAGTGCAGAGGAACCCTCTGAAGACCAGCTGGAGGATATCACTAACACAGCACAGTGGGAGCATCAATACCAAGGCTTTCCTCCCATCTACCCAGACACTTCGTCTTCTCTTCCTGTGTTCTCCCCATCCCCTTGCAGCCTCCTGCTTCCTGCAAGAGCAACAGGGCCCCACAGTGCTTGCAGTTTCTTGTGCACACAGCTAATGTCTCAGCCTGAGGCCGCTGTGAGGAGTCCCAATCTCCACCAGCTGGCTGCTGTCAAAGACTGGTAATGGGTAGACCTAACCTTAAAACTTGGTTTCTTTGACCCCTTGTTCTTTTGTTTACAGCTGTGATTCGGGGTAATAATTGACAATGGGAATCTTTCAAATCGCCATTGAGATGATTACTTTTAAAATAAAAATAAAAAACAAGAAGGGCTGGACGGTCCTACATTGATAAAGTGCTCGACTTATGTGTAGAAGGCTCTGGGTTCTGTCCCCAGAATGGAGTAAACCTGACCTGTTGGCTTCTACCCAACCCCAGTGTCCAGAAGGTGGAGGCGGGAGAGGGAGCTCACAGTTGTCCCTGATTATAGGGTGAGTTCCAGGCCAGCCTGAGCTATTGAAACTCTGTCTAGGAAAGAAGTTTAGTGCCAGCCTGGGCTACATGAGACTAAAGCTGATGATGGAAACAGAGCCTAACCACCATAAAATTCCTAAAAGTCAATGTACTACTTACTTAAAGAAGAAACGACCCATAATATGGAGGCAGAGTCTCTCACTGAGCCTGGAGTTCAGTGTTTTAGCTAGTCTGACTAGCCAGCTTGCTCTGGGGATTCCCTGTCTCTGCCTCCCTAGCCCTGGGGTTACAGATGGCCATGCCCACCTGGGTTTTCAAATCCTGTCCTTCACACTTGAATGACAAGCCCATTATCTACCAAACTATCTCCCCAACTTCTTTCCCTTTTATGGGTAAGTAATAGTCCACCATGGTATCTGCCTGACATTCCGTGTGTTCCTTTATCCTACCAGGAACACTGGGATGCTCCAGACTGTGTGGATATTGCTGCTGGCACATGGTATGTAAATGTCTTTCCTTGGTTTCAGTTCTTTGGGGGTAAAGACCTAGAAGGGGCCTGCTGGCTCCTGTGGCAATCGTCCACCAGTTTCTGTCCCCAGGAGCCACATGCAGGCTCCCAGGTCCTCACCCTCAGCAGCACTTGTGACTTTTTGCCTTTTGCTTTTCCACACAAGGTCTTGCTTTGTTACTCAGACTGATTTTGAAGTCCCCTTTGCTTCCAGCTTCTGAATGACAGGAACTGAGTTCCACACTGCTGTGCCTGGCTTCTTTTCATTTTTCCTCCTTTTACTTTTAGTTTAAACATGTTTTTTTTTATGTGTATGAGTGTTTTAGCCTGTATGTCTGTGTGTCATGCACTTGCAGTGTACACAAAGTACAAAGGATGGATTTAGACCCCCTGGAACCAAAGTTAAAGACAGTTGTGAGCCACCACGTAGGTGCTGGGAACTGAACCCTGGTCCTCTGCAAGAGCAACAAGTGCTCTTGACTGCTGAGCCATTTCTCCAGCCCCTAAAATTTAAATTAAATTAATTACTGTGCAGAAGGGGAATTACAAGGCATGCCACTCATGTGGAGGTCAGAGGGCAACTTTGAGCAGGTGGTTCTCTCCTTCCACCTTTATGTGGGTTCCAGAAATCCCCCTCAGGGTTCCTGGTTTGCAGGGTAAACACCTTCACCCACTTTGGTTCTGCCCCTCCCCTCTCATCCCTTCTTCTCTCTCTCTTCCCCTTTGTCTTCGTTTTCCCCCTCAGGGATGGGGACATAGAATAGCTCCTATTACCTGCTGGATCTAGAAATATTGTCTCCACCCTTACTGGACCACCCACTCTAGAAGGTTTCTATCACAGTTTCATGTAGTCCAGGCTGGCCTAGAAAGTCACTGTGTAGCTGAGGATAAGCTTGAACTGTCCATCCTCCTGCCTCTACCTCCCCAGTGCTAGTATAAAAGGTGTTCGCCACCACAGATGATTTGTGTGGGATGGAATCCAGGGCTTCCTGCACACCAGGCAAATAGTCTACCAGCTGAATTAGCTGAACTATACACCTGAACCTCTAATGCACCACCTGGAA